GGGGGGTCCCGGGAGGGGTCCCGGGGGGGGTGGGGGGGCATACTTGTTTTTCCTCGGGCGGCCTAGAAACCTCGAAAACACTCAAAATGAGGTCCGAATGCCCCAGATGGCCCCCGAGACGGCCCAAGAGGGCCCCGAGTCGCCCAAAGATCGGCCGAAAACACCCAAGATGGCCCCAAGACCGTCCAAGAAGCCTCCAAGACGTTCCAGGCCCTCTCCAAGAGACCCCCAGGAAGCCCCAAGAGGCCCCCACGAGGCTTCCAAGCGGCCCCTAAGAGCTTCCCAAGAGGCCCACAAACTACCCCCAAGAGGCCCCCAAGAGCGCTCGTCGTCGTCGTCGTCGTCGTCGCCATTCAGGGTCGAGGGCACCGGCCGTAAGGCCTTCGCAATAGGACGAATCCCAACGAACTGGTACTGCGTCCAACGAACACGAAAAGCAAAACTGATACGAATTCCAGCCAGCCAAGTAACCTCACTGTATGAAGACAAATGTTGAGAGGAAGTCATTACATCCACAAACCACTTAATATGCTTATGCGTGCACGTTTAGTGCAGAAGCGAACATGACTGCCAAGGTTGGATGTTGTACCAAGTAAGTGTGGGGTGTTGCGAAACTCAGAAGTTAGATGTGGATTGGAGCGTTAATCCGTATATGTATATGTACAAGTATGTATACACGATATACCCAGGAACAGAGGATATAATGCCCTAACAACGAGAACACAGGTTACCATGGGATATGGTGTCAGGGTTTGATGGCTTCAGGGTTTAAAGGTGTGGTTAAATGTGTAAGGGCTTAACTGTGTAAGGGGTGTAACAGGTGTAAAGGGTAAGCGCTACTATGTTTAAGTGCTACGGGTTTAAAGGCTTCAAGGTGCAAGGGCTTCAGGGTTTACATGTTCTACGGCCTGGGTGCTTCAGGTAAAGAACTGTCTGGGGGATGATCTTTTAGGGGCTTAAGGGTGTAAGGGTTTAATGGCGTAAGGGCTTGAGAGCTTAAGGGGTTCATGGCATAAGGATTTAAGGTTTAAGGGTTAATGGTTTGAGTGCTAAGGGTTAATGGCAAGGTAAGGGTTTCAGGGCGTGAAGGCTGGAAGGTTTAAAGGTGTATGTATTTTAAAAGTTCAAGCGCGTGAGGGCTTAAGGACTTAAAGGTTTGAGGGTTCAGGGACTTAAGATGATAAGGGTTTAGGACGCCTCTGAGAGCGGCCCGTGAGACGCCTCTCAGAGACGGCACTCAGAGACGCCTCTAAGACGCCTCTCAGAGCCGCCTGTAAGACGCCCCTCAGAGACGCCTGTAAGACGCCTCTAAGAGACGCGTGTAAGACGCCTTTCCTAGATGACTGTAAGACGCCTCGCAAAGAAGCCTGTAAGACGCCTCTCTGAAACGCGTGTAAGATGCCACTCAGAGTCGCCTCTGTGAAACGCCTCTAAGACGCCTGTGAGAAGCCTCTCAAAGACGCCTGTAAGACTCCTGTACGTGTGTAAACCTCCTCTCAGAGACGCCTGTAAGGCGTCTCTCAGAGACGCCTGCGAGAGACGCCCGCAAGACGCCTGTGAGGGTTCTCATGTAGTTAGGTTGGTTTGAATGATGCGGAACTGATTGGGTGTTTGAAAAAGTGGTTGGAATTAGTACTATGGTGGTTGAAATGTGCTCTCAAAGGTCGCCATTTGTCCCACAGCTGGTCCAACCCCTCCCAGAACTTATACGACGTTGCAGTCACCCAGGGGTGTGGGTGGCCCAAGTGGCGCCCATTACGCGCCGGACGAGTTCAAAACAGCATACGGACAGAACGAACAACGCGCGAAGCGTCCCTGGGAGGGCACCGGCCGGCTAGCGGAGTGCGCGAGGCGACCGTGGCCGCCGCAGAGTTCCGCCACGGTGCTATCCAGAGGTGCTGACAAAACAACGTTGCTCCTGTAAGGGGGGAAGGCAGCAGCAGCAGCAGCACGCGGCTGGGTGGAGGATCCAGACATCCGATGTCCTGGGCTTCTCGATGCGTCCCCGCAGTCCCCGGAGCCCTCCCCAGCAGGGCCAGAGCAGATGGAGTCGGAGATCGCACCGCATCGCCGAGGCATCGGCAGGGGGACGACAGGGGGGGGGGGACTAGCGTTAGGTCGGGCATGTCCCCTTACAGGAGGATTTTGGGCGAAATATGAAAATAGTCCAAAAATGCCCAAAGCATGTTCAAAATAGTGAAAAACAAAAACAAATCCTCCCCTGACTATTTTTTACTATTTTTCTTCACTCTCGGACAGGCTCGACTTACGACTGGCGCAGAGGGGGGGCACGACCACCTGGAAAACCACGGGCACCTCGCCTACACGACGCGGTGGCAGGCTCTCGATGGCAACGGCGCACGCTCCCAGGGCAAGGCTGGGGGACGGGGCACCCGGGCCCCCCGGATCGGAGAGGAGGAGGAGGAGGAGGCGGAGGAGGAGGGAGGAGCAGAAGGAGGGGGAGAGGAAGGAGCAGGAGGAGGGGGAGGAGGAGGCGGAGGAGGAGGGCGGCCTGGGGCAGATGCCTGCCCCCCCGCCCCCGGAGGCGCGCCCCCCCCTTGCCGGTGCCCCTGCACAACGAGCGGTTCCAGCGTCGTCCAGGTCCCATCCTGGGGCACAACAAAAAGTACATCGATGCCGCTGCTCCCCAGACGTCTCCTCGGACGCCTTCCGACGCCTTCCGACCAGGACGTCAGGGCGAATCCGGCCGTGGCAATGAGGCGAAGGATATCGTTGTCGATACCTTCTGCTCCTTTGACACCCTCCATCCCTCCTCCCCGCACCCAAGGCCATGACGGCTTCATGGCACTATGCTCCCCAGAGGGCCAGGCCCCCTCTCGGAAACTTGCCTTCCATCCGGAGCCCTTCGTCTGGACGTTCCCGAGGCCCCGTCGAGGGCACCCCGCGGGCCGAGAGTCGCAGAACGGACCAAAACGAGAATCTCGCTCCCTGCCTGCCGCACCGCTCCCCCCTCAAGTGACCCGCAGAGCGTGCCAGGGCACACGCGTGCTCTTGTCCACCGAAGCCCTGCAATACGACGCAGGCATTGCAAGGAGGGCCGACATAGGCTGCGTGCTATTGGTAGACCTCAGCAGGGCTACCACACAAACACACACACACACACAGCAGGCCAAGACACGTCCTGACTGAGGATCCTCGACTCTACCGCGCGCCCACTCCTGATGAACAACGATAGGGGGGGGGACGTGCTCAGGGGGGAGGCATCCACCTGGAATCGGCGATACATCGCCAATAGGTCGGCGATAGTCCTCTCATAGCGATTCCGCACGTTCCTGGGCGGGGTGGGCTATCGGGCCCGTGTCGGCGATGAATGCGCGATTTGGGGTTCGATGCACCCCCCCCCTGAGCTTAAGTCGGGCCTGTCCCCCTACAGGCCGATTTTGGACGAACAATGTGTCCCCCTACAGGCCGATTTTGGACGAACAATGAGAACTACCCAAACAATACTCCCAAAATGCTCCAAAACACAGAAAAATAGTCCCCATACTGTGAGGCCTGCATATTGGCACCAACACCAACACAGGGGGTTGCCTCCACAGGGAGAAGATGATCTTAGATTTCGGTGTTGGTGGTAATATTTCGGCCACCTTGAAGCCAGAATAGTACCACCATCACCGAGATCGGGATCTTCCTCCCTCGGTGGAGGCACGCCGCCGATATTGGTCTTGGCGTCAACCTCGAGGCCTGCGACATACTATTTTTTGGCGCTATTTTTGAATTGAGCCTGTCCCGCCCAGCTCGGGAGCGGCCACGAGGGGGGTGTCCAAGAGGGGGGGGGTGCAAGTCATGACCGGCGGCATGTGCGCGGCCCAGCGGGGGGGCCAGGGACGTAGTGGAATAAGAAGAGGCGCCCTGAGATCTGGGGAAATGTCATGGCCCCCGCCATGATATCCACCCCCCCTAGTCATCACCCCCCTCTTTGCCGCCCCCGCCCAGTTCTTCCCGCCGCCGGGGCTCAGCACTCTCCGGCGCCCGTCCCCGGGGCGAGCCGTGCAGCCCCGGAAGCGGCACGCCCCCGCGCGGGGCGCGGCTGCAGAAACGCATCTCGAGGCAGGAGAACCTTCGGAGCGGACGGGAATTGGAGGCCTGGAAATTTGCACGAACACCAGCACAGGGGGTTGCCTCCACATGGGGAAGATGATCCTAGATTTCGGTGTTGGTGGTAATACTTCGGTGACCTTGGAAGCCAGAATATCACCACCATCACCAAGATCGGGATCGTCTTCCCTCGGTGGAGGCACACCGCCGATCCTGGTGTTGGTGTCAACTTCTGGGCCTCCGAGGGAACGTCAGGAAAACCATGCGATGCTCTTCGCAGAAGAAAGAAGAAAAGCCATACACAGAAGCTGTGGGCGCTCCGCGCGGATTCCTTGGATCTGCGCTGGACCCCCCTCCCTGGAGCGCGGAGGCCGCCGGGGGCGGCGCCCGAGGCGCCGCCAAGGGGGGGGGCCCCATGCGCCGATCAAAGGAATCCGGGCGGAATGCCAAAAGCCTATGTTTATGCCCTTTTTGCTTCTTCGAGATCCCCCATCATCGGTGGGCGTGCTCTCCACCACAACCACCACCACCACCATACGTAGGAGGGAGAGGGGGTTCTCCTCCTCTTCGTCTTCTTCTGCCCCCTCCTCATCCTCCAACTCCTTCCCCCCTCCAACTTATGGCGGTGGTGGTGGGCCCGCCCCCCTCCAAGCCTTCGAGGTTTCAAGAAGTTCGGATATACGTAAGAATGACCCTTCGCCAGAGTGACCTTTGGTGTGCGGCTTTTGAAGGGGCGTGGGAGGGTCAAACCCAAGCGCACGGGCCGCCATTGTCGAACCGCATGCAACGATTGGCGCTCGATGCTCTCTTTTGGCATCCCCCCTCAACTCCTTCCCTCCTCCAACTTATGCCCATCACCCATGGGCCCATCCCCCCGCCCGAGGCCCCCCCCCGCCCCCGGCGGGCCCTGCAGCGCACGGGTCTGGAAGAGCCGGTGCACCCGCAGGACCTGGAAGCAGGCCGCGGCGCGGATCCACTGGGCGCGGGGCGGGCGCGGGGAGGGGCGCGCGCGCCTCGCGTCTCGTGCCCGTCGCCCTCCTCTTCCTCCTCCTCCTCCTGCTCCTCCTGCTTCTCCTCCTCCTCCTCCACCTCCTCCTCCCCCTCCTCCTGCTTCTTCCTCTCCCCCTCCTTCTCCTCCTCCTCCTCCTCCTCCTCCTCCTCCTCCACATCCTTCTTCGCCTCCTCCTCCTTAACTTCCTCCTCCTCCCCCTCATCAGCATCATCATCAGCATCATCATCATTATCATCATCAGCATCATCATCATCAGCATCATCAACATCATCATCGTCATCATCATCATCATCATCATCATCATCATCATCATCATCACCATGATCATGATCGTCATCGTCATCATCATCATCAGCATCATCAACATCATCAGCAACATCATCATCATCAGCATCATCATCATCACCATCCCGCTGTCCTCTCCTCTCCTCTTCCTCGTACTCCTCCTGCTCCTCCTGCTGAACTCCTTCTCCTAATAGATAGCTTCTCCCTGTCGCACCCCGAGGCCAATTCTTAGGGCGGGCCCGACGTTTCGCCCACGCCTTCCTTACCATTGACGACTCTGAAGCTTAAAAAGTGGCAACAGTTTCACAGATGGATCTCGCTTTAGCGCCGCGCACATTCGCTTTGAAAACCTGCAAGAGTTTCACGGATTGAAGGCGGGTGGTTTTCAACATGTGGCTCTCGCATTAGCGCCGCGCACACTCGGTTTAAACAGTTGCACGGGTTTCACGGATTGAGGGCGGCTCCTTTTCAATGTGTGGCTCTCGCACTAACGCGGCGCACATTCGTCTTCAAATTTGCAAGAGCTGCACGGATTGAGGGCGGCTTCTTTTCAAAATGTGGCTCGCGCCTTAGCGCCGCGCACACTCGTTTTAAAATTGCAAGAGTTTCACAAATTGACAGCGGGTCGGTTTCGAAATGTGGCTCTCGCCGTAGCGCCGCGCGCATTCGTTTTAGAATCTTATAAGAGCTTCACGGATTGAGGGCGGTTCCTTTTCAAAGTGTGGCTCTCGCCTTAGAGCCGCGCATATTCATTTTGAACATTTGCAAGAGTTTCACGGATTTTGGAAGGATTCAGGATTACGCGGACACAGCAATTATGTGGATTCGCGGTGTTGAAATCAAAGAAAAGGCGTTATGGCACAATTCTGGATCGTCTGGACGCAGCAGTCAGGCTGATACGTGGCGTGAATGTCCCGAAAGCTTTGTTTAACACGCTTCAGGATCTTCGAACGGTTGTCTTCGAACGAGGCAGTTCCCTCGATGGGCATGAACCGATGTAGGGGCCTACGAAGAGGGAGCTTGGAGGGAGGGTTTACACTGGTCATCATCCTTCACCTCCCTCTCCCTCCCCCTCCCCCTCCTCCTCCTCCTCCTCCTCCTCCTCCTCCTCCTCCTCCTCCTCCTCCTCCTCCTCCTCCTCTACTCCTCCTCCTCCTCCTCCTCCTCCTCCTCCTCCTCCTCCTCCTCTTCCTCACTCTGACGTGACCTGCTGATGCTCTGGGGGGGGGGGGACAGCACCGCTCAACGATGCGCTGCCAACCAAGAAAGCAGACCGAGCCCTTTCGACTTTTCTGCGCACTTCACCGTTGGCGTCGGCTTCGGCTGTGGGTGCGCAGCGAAACGCCTTCGGGCCGCACTCCCCCCCCGTCTCCGCTTCCTCGTTCGCATCCCCTCATCCCTCTCCCCTTCCCCGTTGAGCGTTGACAGAAACAGACAGCAAGTTGCTGGATGAGGGGCTGAGGCAACGCCTACGAGAAGACAAGGCCGAGGGGAGGGAGAAGGGGAAGAAGAGGATACCCAGGCAATCCCGAAGCCTCCCCCCCGCCCCCCCCCCCGGCTTATCTTCCTCCTCGCGGACGAGGTATGCCTCATCCCTCCCTCCCTTGTTAGATCATCCTTCCCCTCGTTGCCCTCCTCCTCCGTATCCTCCTGCTCCTCTTCCTCCTCCTCCTCCTCCTCCTCCTCCTCCTCCTCCTCCGCTCCCCTTATTCCCCCTCCTCATCCTCCTCATCCTCCTCCTCCCCCCCCATGTTCCCCTTCCACCACTTCATCCTCCTCATTCTGCTCCTCCTCCTCCTGCTCATGCCCCTGGTCCTCTTTCTCACCGCTGCGAAGCTGGGGAGGGTGAGCGAAACCATCAGAGGCAACCAGATTAGGAGGGCATAGGCAAAAGAAAACAGGAACGCAGCCAACCCGCAACAATGAGGCATGCAATGGCGACCCTCCTGCGACACGGGGGTGCCCCAGATGATCACCCGAACGTGCTCGGCAACGAGCAGCTCCAGCACGAAGCCTGGCAACCACGACGCGCGCCACTCCACCACTCGGTCCTCCTTGACCCTGATCATCCAACGTATCGTGATCCGTGTCATCACCACTCTACCTACATAATCATTATCATGCTGTCTCCATGTTGCCCCGTCAACACTGCAGCATACAGTCTGCCCATCTTCATCACATGCTCGTCGCAATAAACTGCAATATCGTCTTCATCAACCCCAGCAACATCAACATCAGCATGTTCCTCATCACACCGTCGCAAATCAACCTCATGATCATCAGCGTCATCATCTTAATCGTCAGCAGCATCATCAGCATCGGCATCATCATCAGCAGCAGCAATACCCTCCATATCGACAGAATGATCGTCAACCTCATCTTCCTCACCATCCACATCCTGATTCTCAGTATCTTCTTCATCCGAATCCCCGTCATCATCAACAACATGATCAACATCAACATATGTGGCGTTGTCATAACCGTAACCCGAATTCAAACATCAGCGTCATCATCGCTATGTTCAACCTCGTAACTAAATCAATCACTAACATCCGTGTGAGTGTCCTGTTTCCCTTCCTTCTCCTAAGCTTCCTCCTGGTCCTCCCACAGCTCCCCTCACACACACTCACACACACACACACACACATACACCATACCCTCCTCCACTCTCCCTCGCATCCCGCCCTTTCCTTTCAGTTCCCTCCCCCCCTCCCTCCCCGTCTCTCTCCCTCGTGTCCTACCCACCCTCCTCCAGTCGAACCTGCCTCCATCGCCCTCACACCTTCCCACCTCGTTCCCCTGCTAAGGGGGGTTCAGACTCTGGCGGTCGGAGTCAGCGAAGGGCAAACTAAGGAAGAAGTTCTGAGAGGGCAAACTAAGGCAGGGCAAACTAGGGCAAATGCCGGCGTGAGCCAAGTACCAAGTATGTCCAGAGGCATTGCCCAGGGCTGTTGATAAGACATACGACCCCGAATAGGGACCATCAGCAGACTTGGGCTTACCCTGTTCCTGACCCTCGGAAGGCTGACCCCCAGTAACGGGCGAAGGGTCCCCCCCACCCCAGGGCCAGGAAGTACGGAAACACTCAGGGTCCCAACCATGATACGCACACCCGTCCGGTCCTCGCCCCCCTCCTGGACGCCTCTCGCCGCCGGGGGATGGGGCGGTGGGCGTTGCGGCCGCGGCCGCGGGCGCCGCAGGGCGGCACCTCCGTCAAATACCGCCGAAACGCGTAGGCAAGAGGCGCCGGCAGGCCGAGCGGTGCTCCGGCGGGGCTTGTGGAAGTCCAAGGAGCCGCCATGCGGCGTGCTCGTCCAAGCGCCCCAGACCCCCGACGTCATATTTTTTCCATGACGCGATCCCCAAAGGTCCGGACCGAATCCCCGGGACCGGTTTTTCATCCCGAATCGTTTTTTGACGGTCCTGAGGGCCGGTAAGGGTCCCCAGAGGCCGAAAATTCAGAGAAACCTCGCGTCGTGATTTTTTCATGAATCGAGGGGGTCTGGGGCGGACGCGTGCTCCGGTGGTGCCAGCAGCCGGCAGAAGACGCGGCGTCGCCGCGCGGGCGCCCGGGGGCAGGGCAAGCTCCTGGACGCGGGCACGTGCCCTGCGCCGGCGGGCCGGGTCGGGCGGGCCAGGGGAGCCGCGGGGCTGGGCGCGGGGCTGGGCGCGGAGGCTGGGCGAAGGGGCTCTGGTCTGAGCTCCCGGCGGCCTGGGACGTTCGGATTACAGTCGGGGCGTTGCCGTAAGGAACCCTCAATAAGGAACGAGGCCCCTTTTCCCATAAGTTAAACTTCGATTTCCGATCGAAAACATAAGGAAAATCTGAGGCAAGCTGTGAAACACTTCAGGAACGCGGAGCCCCACCCCAACGAAAAGGGTTCCTTCTTCAGGGCCCCGACTGTAGGCCCCCCCGGGCCCACCAATTTCTCGACCGGGCCCCACCCCGTCCTGGCCCCCTGGTCTGACGTCCTCGCGGCCTGGAACCTCTTGGTTGAGGGAAGCCCGACTCGGCAGTGTCTCGCCTGGGTCCAAGCTGACATCTTGGCGGCATGGGATTAGGCTTGTGGCCCCCCGACGCATCAATTTTTCGCGCGGATTATACCCCGCCCCAGCCCCCTGGCCAGCCATCCTGGCGGCCTCGGATCCCTGGTTCAGCGAACTCGGACCCTGCATGTCCTCGCCAGGGTCCGACCCCGCCATGCTGGCGGCCTGGGGCCTCTGGTTCAGGAGCCTCCGACAAAGCAATTTCCCCGTCCCGATCCGACCCCGCCCGAGCTCCCTGGCCTGGCATCCTGGCGGCCTGTTTAGGGCCTCAAGACGGCCCTGGCATGACCTAAGGACGGTTTCAACTCTGCATCAAGACGGTCCAGAACGGCCCCAGCTCTCTGACGGACATCAGCGACGGCACAACGAGGCTTGCGAGACGCCCCGAGGCCGTCAGAGCGCCCCGAATGCGCCCTGAGAGATCGCCAAGACGCAGCACGAAGCCTCCAAGAGGCCACCAGAAGGACCTGAAGAAACTAAAGCCATAGTTATGTCTCAACTCATTGGGCGATTGGCGCGTCTTCACCTTTTCTGGCCCCCATCTGCTGAGCACTCCCCTCAGAGGCCCAAAATATCGCCCAAAGACATGCCAAATAAATGTCATGGCCTTCTTTGGGGCCGGCGGAAGCGGCGGCAGCCTCTGGATAACAGATGCTCGATCGCATGACGATCCCTGGATGCGTATGTTGCATCCTATCGCGCATGCGCATGTACGGGTTCTGCTTGCAAAGCGAGGAAGATCTTCAGGCTCCTCCACTGAACGTGACTGAGCCTGGCAGATAGCCGTTGCATCGGATGACAACGCGGGCTCGTTCGATGAGCGGGGGTCGATGTGAAAGCAGAAGAGACGGCCAAGCCGCCCACCAATCCACTGCCCACAGAGAGGGGCCAGGGCGTACAGAAGGTGGCGCCGCGAGAGGCCGTGGCAAAAGGCCCTTCCTGAGAACGGCCAGCTGCTTCAGCTTCACATTGGCCTGAACGGTTTCCCCTGGGGGCGTAGGCGACCCGAGGAGGAAGAGAAGGGGGGATGGAGGAGAAGGAGGAGGAGGAGGAGATGGAGAAGGAGGGAGGAGGAGGAGGAGGAGGAGGAGGAGGAGGAGGAGGAGGAGGAGGAGGAGGACGGGTCGCCTGAGCCTTGGGAGAAACCCTCCACGTTGGCCTAGGGCTTAAGCAGGGCGGACTGAGCCCGGCTGCCCCGCGCGTGCGCTGCATTGGCGACTGCAAAAAACAAGACGAGGCTGCAACATCTGCAGGCGCCGGGGCCAAGCAATACACGCGACGCGGCCGAGGCGGACCTGCGGAGGGCCTCCGTGCAGTGGGCGAGGGCCGCACGGGGCCGCTTTGGCCCGCTCGGGCCGACCAAACATCTCGCCATCGCTCGGGCGTCCGTTCCCCGTGCATGTTTCGACTTCGTGCGTGCATGTTTCGCTAAATGATCAAAGATGCTCCTCGATGGTCCTCGCCGAGGAAAAAAGGCACACCCCCGAGCGATGCCAAGACATGGGGTACAGCGCTCGCACCTCCACCGGACCCCGTCGCGGGTGAGGCCGCGGCGCTGGGCGGCAGAGGCCCAAGGGGCCTCCGTGCCGAGGGGAGGCGCCCGAGGTCCCCAGGTAGAGCTCCCTGGCTTATTGGTCCAGGGAGCAAATCGGGGATGGACAGACCTCCCTAAAGGAAAAACGTGGTTTAGTGAAAACGACCTCGGGCCTAACCTGGCGGGCGCAAATCTGGAAAAAGACGGCCGCGGTGCCCTCTCGAGAACCGAAAACGGACAATTCACTAATCGACGTGTCAGGGTAGGAGGTCTGTCCACCCCCGAGCAAAGCAAGCGTGCGGGCGACCGCCCCGACAGCAGGCTCACGCTTCTTGCGGGCCAGCCCCCCGCGATCCACATCGGAGAAATCGCACACATGGTTCGACAGCTCCACGGAGTGCGGGCCAGTCTGCCCCTTTGTGTGACTTCGGAGTCGAACTTTCTCGGCCTCGCACTCCGCATCATCCTCCGGCCCGCGGGCTCTGACCTTGTGCGCCGTGTGGTTAAGTGGAACGGACCGAAGAGAACCCCAGTGCTCACCCAGGACAGGTCCCCCATCCCAAGAAGCAAGGTCTCCTTTGCCTTGCATGCCAGCCACGCTTTCCGCCATGATGTCAAAATGATGCGGTGTGTCTGAGCCCGCTACATGTTAGCTCCTCCGGTGTGATAAACTCATCGCTCCCCTCTTCGTCGAAATGCCTCGTCCAGTAGGTTGACTGGCTTCGACAATGATATCCATTCGCGCTGTCGAATTTGGGACTTGTGGGGAGCAAGGTCGTCGCGCGACTCCGCAGAGACATCCACGCACATACGCACTGCGTAACAGCGCCCCTCGATAACATGCCATAACTTCAGGAAGCGGCTGCGCGCTTACATGTCCGTGCACGGGCTGGCACAACCTCAACAAAACGAGAAACTCCAGAGCGCGCACTCGCAATTTGCCGATCCGACTCTGTGGGAAGCGTGTCCAAGGGAATATTGAAGAAATCGGCAATATGCACCCAAATATACCTAAACATGGGACGTAAATGTGAGACCCAGTGAAACAACGAATTGTCTGATCATTGGACTGAAATTGCATGCTGCGCTAAATGATCCACGATCACTGTAACGCCATAGCCTCGCATTGGTTCCCGAAGCAGGTGTCTTACAACCATTAAAGTGAACAGCTGTTGCTGAGAGGCTGAAAACCACGGGTGCGCTCTGCCGTTTTCAATCATGGCCGCCCGAACCTGCCCCCACAATCAGCATCAGAATCGCGATCAACATTATCATCATTATCGTCACCATCTCCATCATAGTCGTCCGCATCACGATCATCATGAACAACAACATGCCAACCATCGTCGTCATCGTCATCAACATCGCCATCATCGCCATCGTCATCACCAAGCATCATCACCATCAATACCATCACTATCACCACAACCATCACAGTCACCGTCGCCATCATCATAACAACCATCAGCATCATCATCACCAGCATCACCACCACCGTTAGCATTAGCAGCATCAGCATCAGCATTAGCATCATCGGCATAGTCATCAGCATCATCATCAGCATCATCATCACCATCATCAACAACAGCAGCATCAGCAGCAGTAGCAGCAGCAGCATTATCATGTGGGTCCGCGCCTCCTCCATCCTTCCCACCCTTTCCTCCTTTGAACCAAGAGGGGGGGAGGACGCCTAAAACGGCCACGAGTGTGCAGACCGCGTCCAGAACGTTCCAGCCGTTCTTGAAGAAAGCCCGGCCCAAGGCAAGCAGCCTCAGGCCAAGGTCCTGGCCACCCCGGCTAACATCCTCCTGCGATCGACGAGTCCTCGTCGATGGACCAGCGTTTGGCCCCGTATGCCGAATCCTTACGCTCCTATCCTCCCTGACGTTACCCGGTAACCTTCCGCTCCCAGGCTTTCTCGCCTTAGCTTGGGCCGCAGGCGGCCGTTCGGATTGATCCGGGCACCCCTGGAACGCCCTCGGCGAGGCGCAGCCGCTGGAAGGCATCCCGAGGCAGGAAAACCCACAGAAACCAACGAACACGTCGAAAAACCTAGAACCTCTTCCTCCTACTCATCCCCCTCCTCCTCCGCCTCCTCCTCCCCGCTCGAACTTCGCCGCACTTCGAACTTCGTGCTGCGGGCAGTGCCGAGTGATCGCCCTTCTGCCCTCGATACCCCTCCTCCCAGCCAGAACTGAAGGAGGGAAGAACAACTAACAAGAGATGAGGAAGAGGGACAATAGAGACCATAGTAAAATGCTTATGATGGGTGAAAGGACCTCCTCCTCCTCCTCCTCCTCCTCCTCCTCCTCCTCCTCCTATTCCTCCTCCTCCTCCTCCTCCTCCTCCTCCTCCTCCTCCTCCTCCCTCCTCCTCCTCCTCCTCCTCCTCCTGCTCCTGGTCTTCCTCCTCCTCCTCCTCCTCCTCCTCCTCCTCCTCCTCCTCCTCCCACTCCTCCTCCTTCCTTCGGACGCCAGGAGGATACCCAGGAATGTTTCCTCCTCCTCGTTCTCATCCTCATCCTCCTCCTCCCTGACGTTGCCCCTGGGAGAATGCGGATCGGCGACTCCGAAGGGTGGTTTGCAATGGGTGTGGTTTGCAACCCACGCCTGGACGGGGGAGGGCGGCGGACGAGGACCTCGACAGAGTTCGCCGCCGCGCCCTGACGAGGGCTCATCAGACCTTCGTCGCAGCGTGGTGACCCCCTGAGCCTCAACGGCGCCGATGTAACAACACAACGGTGTACTTGGCATCGCTCGGACGTCGATTCCCCGTGCATTGTTCGGCGTCGTGCGCTTATCTGTCGCAAGATGCTATGAGATGCTCCTCGCTGGTGCCCAACGAGGACAACTGCACACGTCTGAGCGACGCCAAGTGTAACCACCCCCAGGCGGCAGGAGGAGGAGGGGGAGGAGGAGGAGGAGGAGGAGGAGGAGGAGGAAGAGGAGGAGAAAAGAGGAAGAGGAAGAGGAGGAGTAGGAGGAGGAGGAGGAGGAGGAGGAGGAGGAGGAGAACGAGGAGGAAGAGGAAGAGGGGGAAGAGGAGTAGAGGAGGAGGAGGAGGGAGGAGGAGGAGGAGGAGGAGAGGAGGAGGAGGAGGAGGGGAGGAAGAGGGGGAGGAGGGGAAGGAGGAGGAGGAGGACGAGAGGAGAAGAAAGGAGGAGAGCAGGAGGAGGAGGGAGGAGGAGGGGAGGGAGGAGGAGGAGGAGGAGGAGGAGGAGGAGGAGGAGGAGGAGGAGGAGGGGGGGAGGAGGAGAAAGAGGAGGGGGAGGAGGAGGAGGAGAAAGGCCGGGGGATTGTGGCGGCATTCGTCGGTTTCATATGGTGTTTTTTTCTGCGTGAGCGGTAAGTGTCTTCTCTCTGTTGGGTGTTTTCCCGTTTTCTTTTTAGCGTGATATTTTCCTTTGCTTCGTCCATGTCGTTCGTTCGTTCTGTCTTCATATATTGCACGTTTTTCGTCATTAGATATCTTTCTCTCTCGTTATCTCTCCCTCTCTCTCTCTCTCTCCTTTTCCGTCAAACCTTCAAACAAACATCGCCCCTTCCGAGCATGGTCCTCGAAACTCGAGCCCTGCGCCACACGGCGTGTGGTTGGAACTTCGAGGACCACGTTCGGGTGAGCATTTTTTCGCTCTTCCGATGTGCTGAGGTATCTTCCCCCTTTCCAGCGATCTCTTGTTTTTCTCTTCTCTTTCAGTCCTTCTCGACGGATCCATCCATGCCCACCCGAGCATGGTCCTCGAAACTCTTCCCCTGCCCCTGCTCCTGCTCCTGCCTATTTCCTGGCCCTGCTCCTGCTCCTGCGTCTCCCCTGGCCCTGCTCCTGCTCCTGCTCCTGCCCCTGCCCCTGCCCCTGCTCCTGGTTCTGCCGCTGCTTCTCCTCCTGCCCCTGCCTTTGTTCTTGCTCCTGCCCCTGCTCCTCCTTTTCCTTCTGCCCCGTCCCCTGCTCCTGCTCCTGCTCCTGCCTCTTTCCTGGCCCTGCTCCTGCTCCTGCTTCTCCCCTGGCCCCGCTCCTGCTCCTACTCCTGCCTCTGCCCCTGCTGCTGCTCCTGCTTCTGCCGCTGCTTCTCCTCCTGCCCCCGCCCATGCTTCTCGTCCTTTTCGCAGCGGCTCCTACGCCTCCTCGCACTCCCTTTCCTTATCTGCCTTATTCCTCCGCCGCTCCCGCTCCCTCTCCCTCTCCTCACTGTCGTGTGCCGCGCAGGCATGTGGCTCAAGTGGCTCAAGCACCCAACTCTACCTCAGGACTTTTCGTTGCGCTGGGACATTCCCACCACGTTGACTATACTCACACCCATGGCGCAGCGTCAGCAGGCGACCGCACAACAAACTACAATCATAAAAACTGCAAACAGAACATCAAAGCCCAGCAGGCTCCCAAGCTGATGCTGACCTTGCCGAACCGCTTGGACGGGCCCATGACGCAGGGGCAGCAGCTGGTGGATTTCGCAACGAACGCCCCCATGATCAACGTCGGCCTCGCCAAGGTCCAGGTCCAAGTGCACGGCGCGAGTCCTTCGGCGATGAAGTACAGCAAGCTTTTCGCCCCGCAGGCGGAGCAGGTCCATTGGTCCGACATCACCTGCTTCGAGCAGCCGCCGCAGCCATTCGGAATAAGGCACCGTACAAGTACAAGAGCAGCAGGAAGGCGGCCCACCACATGCACCACAACCACGGCTGGTTCATGGTCCTCACTCCGGAGTACCGCATCGCTGCCGCAGCCGAGCAGAAGAACCCTGAGGGCAACGGCGTCGCGGCAGAAGCCCTGACTCGTGCTCTCAAGAAGCACCCCAGTGTGAACACGCGTGTGTACGACAGGTGCTGCTCCTTTTCATGCATCAGGTCAGAAGTTGCCCGTCTACAAGGACATCAAGCATTGGTGCATCGAATGGATGCACGCGAAGGGGCACACCGGCAGCTGCCCCTGAAACCCCTACAAGATCAAGCGGTTGGCCCCTGGCCTTCCGAGAAGCCGCCGCTGTCTTCGGAGAAGGCTTCGCAAGCTTCTCAGAAGGCCAGAAGCCTTCTGAGCCTTCTGAAAGGGGCCCGCCCCCTTCTGCCTTCCCCCCTGGCTCGCCGCCGAGAGGTGCCCAAAGGAACGCCAGGCAGGCCCAGACAGCCTCCGGAGCACTCCCCCGAGAACCCTGGCGGCCCCGCAGCGCCTCGGCTAGGGACGCCTCCGGCGTAGCGGGCGAGAAAGCCGTATCCTCCGCAGCCTCACGCGCCGGACCCCCGAGCTGCTGCCCGATGGGCACGGGGCGCTGCT